AAGCTTAATTTGCAACCCCTGAGAGCACCCTAGCAGCACCCAACTAAAAGGGTTAGAATTTCAGTTTTTGTCAAATTTTATTTATCAAATTTCTTGGAAAAATTTTGAAAATATAATTAAAAAGTCTTATTTTGCAAAAGAAAAAAATTGAAATCCAGCGTAATCAAATTTAAAATATCAGACTTTTTTCATCTCAGTTTAGTTAAAAGTTAATGAAAAAAAACAGAGCGATATTAATAGGATGTTGGGCCACATGCATTTGCTGGTAGTAACCTGACATCCCCCCACCAAAGGGTCGACTTTCAAAAATGGCTGAGTAGTCATAATTAGAATTAAGACAAACAACCTCAGATTAAATTGAGAGCATCCCACCAGTGTTGAGTATTTCAATCTTGGAATTTATTCTAGATCTTATCTTTAAGAAAAAAATTAAAAATCTCAACTACAGCGAATTTTGGGAACTAAGATGATATGAGCAACCAAACTTGCAGGAAAGATCTGCAACCCCAGAGTACCCAAAAAACACCCCACTGTAGAATTGGTAATTTCAAACTTTGAAAAGTTTTTTATTCAAGCTTTTTTTTATATATTTCGACGTCATCTCTCAAAAGCAAAAGCAGTCACCTTTGGAGGAAAGAGTTGCAACATCTGAGAGTACCTCGACAATTATGAAACCAAATTATGAAACCAAATTATGAATTCGTTGCTGTCAACCATTTTGGAGTTTCGCTTATGAGTTTGAAATACGAAGACCTGAAACCTACTGGGTTTCAGATCTTCGTATTTCAAACTCGTAAGCAAAACTCCAAAATAGTCAACAGCAACAAATTCATAATTCGGTTTCATGACCCAGCGTAATTAACTTCAAAATATTGACTCTTTGCTTATGAGTTTGAAGTACGAAGATCTGAATCACAGTAATTTTGCAGTTTCACATTTTTAGTTCCGGAAACATTTAAGCTGAAAAAATTTATGAAAGCTTTGTTGGATGCCCCCGTCTATTGTTACGGTTGCATTCATTTCAATGTTTTTTTTCATATCTTTTCAATATTAGCATATCTTGGGGTAGTTAATCTGTTTGAAGCACCCGGCCATAGTGGTGAGTATTTGAAATGTTGCTAAGTTTTTCTAGATCTTATTTTTTTTGCAAAACTTGAAAAAAAGCTCAAAAACGCCATTTATCAGAAACTAAGATAATTTGTGCAATCACACTAAGCAGATTTGCAACCTCTGATGGTACCTCCGACCAGCTCACTATTGATTTGGAAATTTCAATTTTTGAAACGTTTTCTTTTCAATTGCTGTTTTGTTGAAAAAATTGATTAAACGTCATATCTCGACAATCTAAAAGCAATTGAGCAGTCGTTTCAGAGGATAACTTTGCAACCCTTGCAAGTATCTAGAAACCACCCTACTTTGAAGTTGAAAAATTTAAAATTTGTGAAGTTTTTCATTTAAGTGTTTGAACATATTTGAAAAAAAATTCAAAAGTAGTCATATCTTGTAAAGTAAAAAGTCTTTGGTATTCATATTTGGAGGGCAACTTCCCAACCTCTCGAAAAACCCTGAACGTAACCCACTAATCGGTTGCTTAATTCATTAAGGCTGAAATAAGCACAGAGTTCACTTTTAAGAACTTAAAAAATTGCAATATACAATATAGCTTAAAAGTGAAAAAATTCTTTCATTGAACTTGCAAAAAAATATTTTGAAAAAGCTTAGACATTGCAAGATAGTGAAGCACGCTTTGAATAGTATCATTTATAATTACAAGAGATAGATATATATCTGTGAAAATTAAATCATAAAAAAAAGTCACATCTCAGAAACTAAAAAGATTTGAGCAGTCATATTTGAGGGCAATAATTGCAACGTCTGATAATAATATGACAATTTTCCGCATAATAGAGTTAGGAATTTCAACTTTTCAGAATTTTGATTTTATCTTTATTTATTTGTTTCGAAAGATTTATAAAAAGTCTTATTTAGCATAAGAAAAAAATTGAAACAGTCATATTTGGATTCATAATGCAGCGTAATCAATTTAAAACAAATCTGACTCTTTTTTTTATCAATTTAGTTGAAAGTTAATGAAAAAAATTGAGCAATTTTAATAGGATGTGGGTCCACATGCAGTTGCTGGTAGTAACCTGACATCCCCCCACCAAAGGGTCGACTTTCAAAAAATGGCTGCGTAGTCATAATTGGAATTTAGACAAAAAACCTCAGATTACCTTGAGAGCATCCCACCAGTGTTGAGTATTTCAAACTTGGAATTTATTCTAGATCTTATCTTTAAGAAAAAAATTTAAAAATCTAAAATACAGCAAATTTTGGGAACTAAGATGATTTGAGCAACCAAACTTGCAGGAAAGATCTGCAACCCCAGAGTACCCAGAAAACACCCCACTGTAAAATTGGTAATTTCAAACTTTGAAAGGTTTTTTACTCAAATTTTTTTTTTGTATATTTCGAAGACATCTCTCAAAAGCAAAAGCAGTCACCTTTGGAGGAAAGATTTGCAACATCTGAGAGTACCTCGACAATGCCTGTCTACATAATTTAGACTTTTAAATTTTGTCAAGTTTTATTATATAATTTCTTTGAAAAAATTATTTAAAAACGTCAAGTCTCGGAAACTAAAAAGATTTGAGCAGCCAAATTTGAAGGCACAATTTCTAATGTCTGAAAGTAATCTGACAGCAACTCAAACCATAGCAACTCAAAAAAATTTTGAGGCAAGTTTTAGAAGCCCCTGAGATTACTCAGAGAGCATCCAATTATGGGGTTATGTATTTCAACGTTTATGAAAATTTTCAACCTTTTTAATGATATTTTTCAAAAAAACTCACAAGAATCTTTGTATCTCGTCCATAAAAAGATTTGGGATTCATATTTGAAGACCCAATTTGCAAGCTCTAAAGTACAAATAACAGCATCTCACTTTTGGGTTGCTTATTTCAAATTTAGCGACAAACAGTGACTAACTTGCAATAAGATTACGTTGAAAAAGTTTAAACATGCCGAGATAGATAGTACGTTTGTAGAAAAACGTGCAAACATTGAAGTAATAATCACTTGTTGCAACGCCTTTCCTGTTAGCAAGGGTAAGCATATTTTGAAAAAAAGACAGTATTACTCATTTTACCAGGCCAATTATGACTTTCACAAAAAATCTGCCTAAATCGATCAGCCAACGCCTAGATTTCATTTTTATGAGATCGAATAATTAGACGAACGAAATCTAATCTGAATCAAGCCACCGAAGGACTTAACATTTGACTATAAGTCTTTTGGCATAGAGGCAAAACTGCACTTCGCAAACACAAGCGAGGAAAAGGCAAAAAAAGCTATAAACAGGCAAAACAATGTAAAATAAGGCAAAAAGAAAAGACTAAAAATGCAAGTTGAGAAATTTTCTTTTGATGAGTATCACGCTCTCGCATCGGCTCCACGATCGCTTGTAGTTTTACTAGAACTAGCCACCAATAAAGCAGCTACAGGTTTTATCAAACTGCTAATGCTATGTAGCAAAAGTTCGACCAAAAAACTATTTCAAAGCTCCGCATTTGAATCTCCGACCTGTTGATTTGGAGTGTTACGTCCTGATATCTGCACCACGGTTGCTTGGAAGTAAACTAGTGCCCTAGCTCATGCTGGATGCGCCTGTTTTAGTATTTTAAATCAAATTGTACTGGAAGGGAAACGCGTTTAGAAAGTTAAGAAGTTTAAAAAAAGGACTTTACGCAAAACCCTAGTGAGCTCTCTGCTCAAGTAGGGGATTAGCCGCTGATTTAAAGGATAAAACTACTTCTATTTCTTTCCTTTCAAATAATTTTTTTTCTCAGATTCGGCTGGATAGTTTGCGAAACAACAAAAAGATTCCAAAAAAAATGATCCAAAACTCCCAATATGACTTTTCCTAAATACATGAACTATTCTCTTCTAAGCATGAGAATAGCCTCTTATGCAGGGCAAATTTCCACACCTTAAATTTTAGACTGAATCCGTTATATCAGATTTAGCTACTAGTTTGAGAAAAGTGATTAAATTTAAAGAAAACAACGGCATATTTCAAATAATGGGATTTTTCCGAAAAGCATATCGGCTTTTCTACAAAAAAGAGGATGTGACAGATACGCAAATGTAACAGATACGCAAGCAAACGTAGGATGTACGCACGCCAAATCTAAGCACCATATTATTTTGATAAATTATCAAGCTAAGACTCGACAGGTTAATTTGAAAAAAAGTTTCCAAGAAAAACAGGCAACATTTCAAAATTTGGTTATTTTCTAATGCCAGATTTTTTCCAAACGCAAATATTAGATTATTGCGCAGAGGAGAATCGCATAAGTGGTTTTTCGCTTTCAGTTATACCCTTAATTTCCAATTCCGCAGGATATTTATTGAAAACTCAAAAAAAAATGGATAAGTTTGAGGCCATAACTTTTCTAAACCAAAATTAGTGAATAGCCACTGGAGTAGCAAGATCCCCAAAATTTGCTCTTTTGATTGAAACTTTTATCTCAGATACGTGCTTTTAATATTTAGAAAATGAAAAAATAAGAAACAATTAGGTCCAAAATCCCCCTACTGAAAATTTCGAAGGCCGTAGAACCAGGGGTAAAATGGGAAGAGACTAGCGAAATATACAGGCACATAGAAGAGCTGCCGAATTCTTTATTGGTACCATTTTTTTGAAAATCAGTACAGTAGTTTTTGAGAAACATTGAAATTTCTGCGGAAAGTGCAAAAACTTTCTAAAGCGTCGCAAAAAAAAAAAACAAAAAACAAATCCCATAAAGTTTCAAAAAACCTGTTTTTTTTCCAAACAGGACCTAACACTAGCCAAATTAAAGCAGCAAAATATGCTATTAATTTGCCTATTCTTAAATAAGCTTAATTATGGTTAAATTGAAATATACCTAAATTGCCACCAAATGAGAAATTTTATTTGCGACTTAGGTTGGAAAAAAAATTCTTCATAATAATACACTACACTTGGCTTGTGTAAACACAAATACTGAATTACTTTCAACTAATACAAAATATTTCACTTATCAATTTTTCACAATATTTACATAAATTTGTACACACATGCATTTAAACAAGTATTAAGTTATCTAGGAGTTTAAAATTTACTTCTTTCGGGCTAAAACCTCTTTCCACATCAGAGGAGGCGACAGAATCTCTTTTGGTTGTGACTTTTTCGGTTCGTTTGGCTTGTTCGAAGTGATGACCTTTCCAGCAGATGCAGGCCTCCTGACTGCAGGTTTTTTAGTCCTGTTGTTTGATGACGTTTGCTTGTTGCTACTGGCTGATTTGACTTTGGGTTTGGCCTTTTCAGGTACTTCTATAGGTTGCCAAGGCACTGGGTTGTAGTATGAAGGCGACGGGTACGAATTCCAATCGTAGTACCCTAAAATATTTTATCAAAACAACTTAAATCAACTATATGCAACTTTTTTCACTGCCGCCCACAAAAATCTGCTGAAACATTAAAAATTGACCTTGAAAACTCACAGTAAAAACAGAAATAGGATCTCAGTTTTTATTGTTTTTGGAAAGGTGGTCATTTTTTCTGGCTTGTTAAAACCATCAACTAAGGTACAAGCAAAACTAAATGCGATATTCAACCTAGATAAGAACTAACATGGCACAGCTTTTCATGCAAACTTCGTATAATTTCATTCTACGAACAGGATGTTCGCTAAAATCTAATTTCATTGCTTCATTTGACATCTGATATGATGATATCAACACAAAACTAAACGAGATTGAAACTGAAATACTTTACCAATAGACTTTTTGCGCCTCAGAACTAAAGATCATCATAAATAATAGAAACTAAAATTAAAAAACATAGCCAACTGGCAGTTGGAAAAGTAATGAATGCAAGGATATTGATTTGTTTTTGAAAACTTTCAAATTTTGAATTTCGAAGAAAACAATAGATGGCATTAAAGCTCTTTGAAACTTTAGAAAAATATACAATTGACGCTTTTTTTGATAAAACTAACCCAATTTGAGAAAACTGGATCCATAGGTAAAACTTATATTTCGCTGGGAAATCGGATAACTAATTTTCATTTTCTAAATTAGTAGTCGATCACGTTTTTCGTGACCTTTACATTTTTGCTGTTGGATAGTGGAGTTTGGCTTTCTTTTGACAAAAGAAATGGAGTGAAAAGAAAAACGAACCAAAAGTCAAACCGCAAAATAATCAAAACTGAGCGTGAACAAATTTTAGGACTTTCCTGAAAAAAAAAAAAACAAAGAAACACCAAGACCTATTTAAAGAGTACTCAATACGTTCAAAAGTGACTCACTACGCTCCCAAAAGGTCACAAAAATTAACAGAGGATAAGCTGAGCTTCGCACCACTTGCGATACAAATATGAATGACTATGAAAATCAAAGGAAAAAAATTAAGAAAAACGTTTTTGTCAATAAAAATTGCAACAAAACTCCAGAATATCCCAACAAAATTACCTGCACCATTAGAAACTATACCAAGAGCTTTGGGAATGCTACTAAGAATCCAAGTTTTTAAAAAAGGTCCTTTCTGTGGAACTAAGCAGACAAAAATAAACAGTTAGACAATAAACTAAATTAGCCAAAATTCTCTATTTGTAAGAAAAACATGTCTCAACTGGAATTGAATTCCCGGGCTTTGTCTTCTCAAGCATGGGCAGCAACTCTGAAGCTAAACTATTGGGCTACGGCAACTAAGCCGACGAATATAAACAGACGGACGATAGTCCGAAAAAGCACAAAAACTCTAGTTTGCAAAAAAAAGAGCCCAGTCGGATTCGAACCGCAAATCTTTACCGTCTCAAGCACTTATTTTATCTCTATGCTAGATGCGCCTGATGTTTGATTGGATTTAAAATTATAATTAGCAAGCGGTAACTAAGTCGAAAAAACCTAAGCAGAAACCCTTCATGCCGAAAAAAAATTCTAAACTAATCAAAAATTTCCTCTCGGAGCACACACATGCGCACAAAACTTTTTCGGACTTAATGACGCAATAAAAGGCCACTAAGTCGAATTATTTAGACTGACGTTTAGTCAGCCGATAAAAAAAACGACAACAAAAATGAAAAAAAAAAGAAATTTTAACTAATCGAGCTGGTAAAATTACAACTTCGAATCGGCCGGATTTTTAAAATGCTGGAAATAACTGCAAAGAAAATTGTTTACAGCTAAAAAAACGATTGTTAGATAAGGCAAATAAGCCGACAAAACATGAGCAGACAAATAATAGGCCGAATCTTTTTTGGAACCGGAACATTTACCGTTTGAAAAAAATTGGTCGTGGTCAGATTAGAACCCACGACCTTTGCCGTCCTAGACGTATGCGTTACCACCAGGCTAAGTGTGCAAGAGACACTGTAAAATTTTAATTCATTATGAACCAATGAAGGTACCACCAGGAGTCCAATGAGTCAGTGGACGAAGTTGTTTACGGAAAAAAGTCTAGTACCCGATTGCAATACCCTTGCTATCGCAAGGGTAAAAAGTTGGAAACTATTTAGTTTATTTACTCAATCCCATGGACATAATATACAAACAATTTCTCCTTCAGCTAGTTCAAAAATAAAACTTGTTGACGTCATTGATTTTCAAACATTTACGTTAATTTATGCATTTAAAACACCGGCTGGTTCAACATGCACATACTATTTTTGAATATTGTAATTTCACAAACATTTTTTTTAATTTCACAAGATTCCACAAAAACATTTTATTTTCAAAGTGTTTTAAAGCTTTGAAACGGACCAAAAATATCCAAGAAAAAAGAAATACACCAAGACATTAAATCCTCAAATACCAGCAAATTTCAATGATAGAAATATTGACTGAGAGGAGAAATTAAGAGTATAAATCAAACAAACCATTCAAAAAATAAAAAATCTAAAAACAAACTCTAATAATCCGAACAAAAAACGAATTCCAGGATGTCTTAGACATTGCGTAAACCCAGTCTGGGGAAGAAGCTTTAAGAAAACTATCAAAAGAAGTATACAAACTATAGTCCGACAATTCAAGTTTGACCAGAAAATTTCAATTTCCACACACATGGAAGAAAAACAAGGTTCGAACGGGACTGGAACTCTACACTTTACCTCTAGACCAAGTGAGAAGGAGCTACAGAACCGTCGATGTTCTGCAATAAAGCATGGCTATTCTCCTTCAGATTTGTCAATTTTTTTTACGGGAAAAGTCTAATATCCGACGAAAGTACATTTGCTTCCGCAAGTGAAAACATTTGATTCCGCAAGTGAGAACAAAGTTGAGAAAGAAACATGCACTGACAGCTCTTTAAACATCAAAAACAACTTATAAGTTGCTTTTATGATAAAAAATAACCCAAATTGAGAAAATTGGATCAATTTTTTATTCCGCTGGGAAATCAGAACATAAAAAACAAATTGCGAAACTAGAAGCCGATGACGTGTTTCGAGACCTTTACACTTTTCGCGAGGACGTTTTATTAGCCTCTTCTCATAAGACGAACGGTATTCGATCGCTCCACATGCTCGAAATTGGACTAAAACCCAAAAATTTCAAACCAGTTTTTCTCAACACGGGGACAAATTTTTCAATATCGTTCAAGTCACGATTGAAAGGTGTTTAATATGATTTATAATTCAAACCATTGCTATGATTATTTCTGGATCCTGATTTTTATTTGAAAGTTGAATTAACTGAAAAAACGACAAAAAATCACCAAGACCTATATAAGAGTCTCCACTGCGTTCACTACTCTTAAAAAATACAAAATTACTGTCTTTATGCAGTTGAACGGGGCGGGCGCTTTTTGTAAAACAGCTATTATAACGTTTGAAAACAAAAATTAGTTTGAAAACTAAATCTGATCTGAAAAATGTTTTTGGCTATTCAGAGAAATTCAGAATAAAATTAGTTTTCAGATCAGATTTAGTTTTCAAACTAATTTTTCCCGGTAGGGAGACAACTGTTTGTAAAACCAAATTACAGTTACTAGGGCTTTGTTACGATACTACGCGAGACCAATGAAGAGCTCTTTTTGAGTTACTTCAAATAGGGCGATAAAAAACCATCTTATGTCCTAGTTATTCCAGTCACTTTCAAAGACATGGTAGGAACAATAAGATAAAAACCAACAACAAACTTCGAGTACAAACGCGATTCAGGGCAAAAATAATGTTATAAAAACATGGCAAACTAAAATTTTAACACAGGGGGTTCAGCACTGTTTCCTATGACTTACGATAACCTAGCATTACAGACAGTACTTAGCAATCAGAAAATGAGTTTGAAGCCATTGAGTCACTGATGTCATATTTCCAGAAAACATGTCGAGAACAAACAATCACTAATGTTTAATAAGCAATCAGAAAAAAATCGAGCGGGATCAAAGCCAACAATCCTAGAGTAAACGACAGTTGAACCGAAAAATTCTTGTCGTGAAAAAAAAACAGAAGAATCACCAAGACGTATATAAGAGTATTCACTACGTCCATGAACTAATTTTTCTTCGAATTAGCGTGGCTTTAAGTGTGAGGTACGCCGAGAGAACCATACAAACGCGTGGAAAGCTACTGAATTAAATAACAGCAACAAGATTTGTTTAAAAAACGATTGCTAAAAAATAATTTGAAAACATTTGCACCATAAGTTTTAGACATTTTTTTGAGAAAACTTTTAATGACAAGGAAGCGCCAATTGAAGCTTCCAAAACCATTTTTTTCTTTAGTAAAAGGACGTTTTCTAAGCCTCTTCTCATAAGACGAACGGAACTCGATCGCTCCACTTGCTCGAAATTGGACTAAAACTCAAAAATTTCAAACCAGTTTTTCTCAACACGGGGACAAATTTTTCAATATCATTCAACTCACGACTGAAAGGTGTTTAATATGATTTACTATTCAACCCATTGCTATGATAATTTCTGGTACTTGATTTTGAAATTAAAAATAACACAGCCAACAGACAGTTGGAAAAGAGACGCAAAGAAACAATAACGAAAAATTGACTTGTATTTCTGAAAACTTCAATTTTCGAATTTCAAATAAAAAACATGACTTTTAAGCTCTTTGACTTTATTACTGACACTTTTTTGATGAAATTAACTCAGTTTGAGACAACTGGATCAATGGGTAAAGTTTTCATTTCGCTGGAAAACCTGAAAAATAAACTTCACTTTGAAAATTAGAAATCGATTACGTTTTTCGTGACCTTTATACTTTACCTGGATGATAGAGAATTTAAGAAAAGATATGAATTGAGCTTAAAAGGAAATCGCGAAAAAACGCGTCGAACCGCGAAAAATAATTTTGAGCGAGAACAAATTTTAAGTCTTCTCCTGAAAAAAAAACATCGAAGGGTCATAACGTATATGAGTGTGAACTATGTTTATCGACTACACACCCGAATATAAATTTCTTTCCGATTTTCAGTGGTCGGAACAAAAAGTAACATGTCATGTCCGGATTCTAACTATGATCTTTATCGTCCCAGGCACACACAATATCGCTAGTCCAAGCAGAAGGCGTAGAAAAATGATTCAATGATTATGTTAGACAAGTTTTTAACTCAGAAAAAACCTATGCTACAAATTTCACCATGATTAAAGTACACAGACGTTTTTGAGATAGCGAATAAAAACTAGCGACTAAAAACGAGACAAAAATCACTATTTTCGAAAAAATCGAAATTGATTTCGGAAAAAACGTCAGAAATAACCATCAGAATTGAATAAGCTTTCCTTGCAAACTAAGCCAAAAAAAAAAACAGGATAGACGCCCGTTGAAACAAAAAAACAGAAATAATAAATGAATTTTTTTTGAGCTGTAAAATTTTAAATCTTTTGTTCCCCAACCTTCCTGAATTAGTCCAAATAAAAAAAATCAATTTCTGCAAAATAGGATGACTAAGCAAATAAACAAATATCTGAAATCTATCGATTAAAAAAAATTGATAAGCAAATAACAGAACGACTTTCAATTATTCTAAGAATTGTTCAAATCACACGAAATTTCTATGCTTTGAAAAAGAAACTAACAAAAAACGAGCAGACAAAAGAAAGACCGACTATTCAATTTTTCCCAAAAAAATGATACCTTACGTACTGAAAAAACTAGGCTCGACTGGGATTCAAACTCCAAACCTTAGGGTGCAAAAGCCACCGCATTACCTTCTGTATGTTACAGATGTGTAAGAAAAGTTGACTACGCAATTGAAAAAACGTTACTCATAACTTGAAAAACTTTGTCGAACTTTTTTTACATTGCCCAAACTGGTTCTCCGAGCTCTCCTTAATCACTTTAAAAACCCTTTTGTGATCAAATGTTCCGCGCCACAGGCGAATACTTGAAACAACATGACAAACAATGCGTTTTTAGGCACTTTTTGAAAAGTTTTTTACGGCGCCGGTTTTACCCTTAAAATTAATATATGTTGGCAGCGAAGGCACTTAGAAAAATTTTAGGGTCGGTCAGCCAAAATTGGATGTCTTAAAAAAGTACCTGTGGGTGGGCACGGGGGTCGAATACATGGGGTGGGTAAGGGGGGGCTGCCTCACTAAAGCCGCTCCTGTTTAAGAGAGAACAACAAATAAGGATTGCTATCATAGACAAAGGATACGATGTGATCACCACAATCCAATGTTTCAGATCAGCTACATTCAAACAGCCGCACGTGATATGATTGTCTAGTTAAGTTAGACTGGTTGGTCTCACCGATGAGTCTGCCCCCAGTGTATCCGAGGGAAGCGGACACTCTGCTGGGTCTGCAGTTGGCCTCCTTCACCCACTGCTCGTACTTCTCCCTCGCCTTCCTCTCTTTCTCTTCACTCTCCTTCTTCTCATTCAACTCCTCTTCCTTCTTCTACAACACACAACTATAGTTAATATAATAGTTTAAATCATCCTTGGGATTTGTTTATTAATTTTTTGACATATCTAATGTTAATAAATACGGCACGTCCGCTCATCCCGTTACCGATTTTTTTCATAATTGCGTTGCTACTGTATATATTGAAAAATGATGATACCAACATTGACCAAATTTATTCTTCTAGTATTGTTTTGGAGAGCGTAATTCGTTTTCCTGTAAGCAAATGAATTTGGTTTGAAAATAAAAACAATCGTCAACCCCCGTAAAATCAATATTGAGCGTGGACAATTTTCAAGAATTTTTCCAGGAAAAAAAGTCAACACGGCGTATATAAGAGTCTTCATAACATGCAATGACTCTCAAAAGACACACCATACGCTAGTTTTGTCCATACCCTAGGTGAGGGGTGGGTGGGAGGACGGAACCAATAAGAATTGATACATCATGATTCTATGACCTGCCTATGAAATTCGGCGACGCTTTTGCAGTAGAAAAATTATCTGCTGAGATAACACTTGGTTCCACTCATACAAAAACTTCAGGAACAAAGATACCATTACAAAACTTCTCTTTCCGACCATTCGTGAAGAGTTAAAGTTCCTCTGTGAACAATAATTGCTCATTATTTTCAAAACTTGTTAATACTGACTTCATATTCAAAGGTGGTTTTACTGATTCCAGATCAAGTTACCTTCTCTTTATGCTCCTTCTCTTTTGCAGCTTTCTTTTCTTTCCATTCCTTCACACGCTCATCGTTTTTAGCTTTCTTTTCCTCTTCTTCTTTCATCTGAAAAGAAGAAACTGATAACTTAGTTGCAATCCTAATTTGTTCAACGGGTAGACGTCAAGTAGGCACATACTGCGCCTTTTGTCTATCCCCTCCATTTTGTTGATTTAATAATTTAAATAAATTGATGCTTGTATTATCAACTATATGGAGAAATAAATTCTTCTTCTTCTTCTATAACATCCATATGTAATTCTATTGACGTTTATTTTTCGCATTTTAATCAGTGATCAGTGGTCACATAACCTTTAGGCAAAAAAAATAAACGAAACCTCAATGAATAAGTCAAAATTGCAAAAACTGCGTTATTCATGTATTAAATGTGGATATAGTACCGCATTTCTAAATCAACTGTCATGAAACATCATGCAACTGCCAAAAATCAAAAACTGACACAAAGGCAAAGCAGCGGTTTGCAACACTTGCAATGCAAAAAACACATTGCGCTACAAAATAGTGAATGAAAAAAGAAAAAAGTAAAAAAAATTTGAAAAATTGTGTTGGAAAAAATTACTTAAAAAAAACCTTGACAAAAGTTGAAAAACTAAAGCTACAAAAACTTGATATTTGTATCGGAAGTTCAAAAGCAGCCTTAACAATAATTGGAAATCATTTTACTGAGTAGCAACAGAATTTGGGTAGCGCCGGATGGTTGATGAATTTGAGTTTTAACACAGAGGCAAAGCGCAACAATCGCGATGCGAAAAAAAACACAATGCGCTACCAGATAGTGAAAGGAAACAGACATAATTTTTCCTTATAAAGTTTTCAGAACTTTTTCAATAAGGAAAAACTCTTGAAAAAGTAACTTGAAAAAAAAAGAGAAAAAAAACATCCGAATACTTCATGTTTGTATTCAAAAACAGCCTTTATAGAAACTGCCGAAAACAAAACTGTTCACATAAAAAATTTCATATAATTTCAAAGTTTTTACGACCCATCCAAACTGAAACAAATAATACCAAACGTATAAATTTTGCCCTCGAAATTACACAAAAAAAGTAGAATAAATCGATATAGTATAAACTGAAACTGTTTGAAAATTTTAAGGAAAACGAAAAAAAATGAAAAACTCAAAATCAGACATGGTAAATTTACCCATGCTTTCAAAAGTAAAACCAAAAAACTTACCAGATAAATGAAACGGAAATTGAACTAACAGAAACTAGGACAAAACCCACATGCCCGACAAAGAATTTTTATTGAAAAGAACCACTAATGCCATTGCAGAGGGTCTCTGCCAAAGTTACTATATTTTATTTTTGGTAAATTGACATGTTAAAAGTAAGCTACTCTGTCGCGGTGGACGATGTTCCCAACCGTGTCGCTGCATTGATGCTGTTTTAGGTTGTTCAAATTGCCGTTGTTGTGTTTCGGTTAGGTGATGATGCACCAATCTTGGTTGTTTCCCTGAAGCTCTGTAATCCGGTCCTGTGTACCCATGCCAGTACCTCATGTACCTGTACCTACGATATCTGTTCCATTTCCTGTTGATTCCATATTTACAATCTGACAGCTGTTAATTGCTTTGAATAACCAGTTCCACGTTCTATTTTGTCTGGTAGCTTCTTGATGTCCCTTAATACCCGTACCAACCATACCTTGCTGATATTCCGTATTAGTGTCTTCTTTGCCGTATCTTGCGAAAGCTGGCTGTTGATGCACTCCATTTGCAAATCCGTTACCACTGTATTCAAAGTTTACTTCGCAATCATTGTACAAACGTCGGTTGCCTACCATACCTATCTGTTTTACCTTGCCATAATGCAGTTTTGATGTAACTGGCCAAATACCATTCCACTGGTTTTGCTGCTGACTGTGTCGAAGTTCCTAAAGCTCAATCGCTCTGTAAACGAAGCTTTGCTGTTGCATGTTGAAGTCTTTAGTTGCATGTGCCTGTATTCCAATTATTCTATTATCATTACCAAAATTTCTTTGTTGTCTAATGAAGCCTGCGTTTGTAACTTGTAACCGAACAGTTGCTATTTCCAATAAAAATCTGGAATTTACTTAGCGAATCCTCCTCGTCCAGAGTCATGCTTACCTGTATATCTCCCAAATCAAAACCTCAGCCAGCGCCCAATTGCTTTTGCGTGCTCCTGGCACTCATCTGACATTAGAAGAAAGCGATCTTGATATTGTCTGCGTTTAAACGCAGATAAAACTGTACCAGATGTACCCAAACTTGATGTTTCCCTGAGAACATCCCCAAATCTTCGCGTATTGCTTCCTGTTGCGTTGTTTTCAGAGCATGTCCAGTTGGCGTTTCCGTTGCGTTTGTAATCAAGTCATCGTGTCCTGTCGTGGTGGATGAAGGAACCATTCTTCCTTGAGATTCGGATTATATGTTCTGGATAATGAAATTCGGGACTAAGGATTGGGTCGCCGAAAATTGCTGTTGAAAAATGGTTAAGTGCTGATAATGTGGCTGAGATCCCTGTTGATCATGAGGTAACTGAGCGTTAGAATCCTCGATAACTTTCTGACAGATTTCTTGAACATAGCCCTTGAAAATCTCATAGCATTGATCGTCACGTAGCTGAAGCTGATAGCTGTCTTGAGAAGAGTTTGTGATGACCTGGCGTTGGCGTGTCTGAATTGCAATTGTTTCCGGATCGGTTTCGTTGGTTGCTGGCGGATTGAATCGAAAGTACGGAAGACGCTCATGCTTTACAGTGTGAGCCAGTGCGTAGACCTATTATTCGTTTCCACGCCATCATTAGTGTGTACCTTTCTGTACAGCTATCCACTAGTTAATTTGCCGTGTTGCTACTGTGGCAATTTCGTCACGCGATTTCTCCATCTGCTTGTTTGTTCATTCTAACTGGCGGTATTTGTCCCTCATTGCTTCGATGTCTTCCACGTACTTGTAGTATTCTTCTTGCCAAAAATACAGTGACATCCCATTCGCCCAATCTGTTGCGCCGCTGTTCGAGTTGTTGTAGTTTGACTTTCGTCTTGTTTGTTGGCATGATTAGTTAATAAGAACAGTTACAAAGATTACATAAAAAAGCAAGGGGTGTTGAGCTCACTGTTAGAATATACTGTGCTGATATTCGGGCACTTAAATAGCATCTGCTAAATACACGTGTCTCTTTTTAGTACTTTGATACTACTGAGCTCAGAACAAAATAGGGTTGATATTTTTCAAATGCAAAATGTTTGGCTATATGGTTGTTACTAACTCATTTTGAACAGTCGAAATCATCTTTTCTAACAAAGTCCAAATCCCTTTTAAAAAGTCGAACTCTTTTGTAACAAAGTCTATTCAATTTTGAGCACAGTCGAACTCAATTTTAATAATGTCTATTCCCCCTTTTACAAACTCAAGCTCTTTTGTAACAGTGTGCAATTCATTTTTGAACAGTCGAACTCCTTTTTAATAAAGTCTAATAATTTTTCACGTCCCTTTTAACGTTAAGTGACACTCCCTGATCTTCTTCGGTTGTTTTGTAGTTGCCTCTATTTTCCCAGGAGCGCCACTTTTTTTGATTCAGTGTTTACTTAAAGGTATGAAAATGTGAGCAAGCTGCAAGTCAATTTATTTACAAGTTTGTGTGGGAAACACTTAAAAAGTCAAAGTCACAAATCAAAATAAGTTCATCGGAAAAAATTAACATTAGGTATCATGAGAAGTCATGAACAGATAATTACAAACTGAAACGGGCTTGAAGTACTTTCATCTGATTTTCAAGAAATTGAACATGTCCGAAGATCCTCTAGAAGTGAAGATTCTCTAAAAGAGGAGAGATCCTCTAGAAGTGAAAAATCCTTTAGAAGTGACCGTGGAAAAAGTTGTTCACGGAAGAAAAAGTCTAGTACTTGATTGCAATAGCCTTTCTAATCGCAAGGGTAATTAAGCAAATTCATGCATGTCTGCGTGTCCAACCTTTTTCGTCTCTTTGCGAGTTAATTTGCGCTCCTCTTTCATCTTGGCCTCTATCTCATCTTTCAGTTTCTTGGCCAGCCACTCCTGTCGTTTCAATTTGGAGATCTGCAGCCGCCGCATCTTTTCTATCTCTTTTGTTTTCTCAGACTCCAGCTGCTGTTCTTCTTCCATCCTTTTCTATACATAGTATTTCTTTTAATTCCAATCCCTTAATCATTGAAACTTGAGACACACAGAGGCAATTTGGCTGCCTCACTCAACAACCATGTTTTTAAATGTGGTGCACTCAATTATTGTCAGTTCATGCATTCAATTTTTAAAGAAAACTTTCGATTTCCAGGACAGCCTGTTATGAATAACTAGGGACCTCAGCATCCCAAAAAAAAACAAGTTTTTCAGCTGATGGAGAAATGGTCTTGCCTTTTCTTTCTCTTCTTGCAGACGTTTCTGTTTCTCCTCAAGCCACAACTTCCAGGCGTCTACGTCAGAGGAATTCGTTAAATTATTTGACTGTGTCGTCAATTTTTCCTCTTCCTGTTGATCCGCTGTTCTCTTGGAGGTCAATATCCTTGTTCTTCTCATAGGTGCACTAAATTAAACTTCAAATCTCACTTTATATTGAGCAAAAGCGCGTGTACGTGCAGAGTTGTCATAAGAACAAAGACAAGAGGCGAACGGATCCTCGCATCATTGCGATGAAACACTAATGAAACTGTCAAAAAGAACCAGAGCAGCCGGTTGCTGGAGATTGCAGAGAATGGCTAGACTACGGAATAAAGTGTGAACAAAGACTACGTGAATAAAGGCATTTCACAGTAAGTTTGTATGTCTTTTTTGCAATTTTTATACCTGGTATATATCTTGCAACAGAAACTACCTAATATTTTCAATACGATCAATCATTTTTTGCCTTTCAAGCGACGTTAAATAAAAACATAGCCAACAAACGGTTGGAAAATAGTCAATGAACGCAAATTAACAGAAAAACTACTGGCTTATTGTTCCGACTTTCGATACGTAAGTAATGGAATATTTGTGCTCGGGGTGGGTTTCTTTTTTTCTTCAGACAAATTTCGACTTTTTAACTAGCCATTTTTGACGGAATTTTTTAATATCATTTCGAAAGGGATTGTTGTCCTGAGCTCAAATTCTAAAAGATATTTCACCTGTGATCATTTTTCGTAAGTTACGGGGGTTTTAAGATTGCCATTTTGGCCAATTTGGGACAATTAACGCGCGATATATTTCGCGCTATTAACGCGTAAGAGGAGAGTTAATCCGTCTTAGAAATCGTTCCAAATTGGTTGAACGAAGCTTATTTGCCATAGTTGATTTGTTACAAGGAGCGCAATCTATCCTTTTGTACTTTAAATGGCGTGTGGAGGTATGATTTTCAAAAAAAAAACAAATTTTAAAAAAAAATTTCATTTTTGTTTTCTTTCATTTAATTTTTGATTGTTATTACTGCTCCAGAAACCTTAAAAGGCAATCGGAACATTCAGGGCTTCGCCCTGATACGAGCAGTCTTGTTTTTTTTTAAATATAATTTCAACTTAGGAATTTCAAAACAAAAATTTCTACGACCTTCAAATTCTTTGAGTTTCAAGAATAACTTATGATTAGCGCTTTTTGATAAAATTAACTCTATTTGAGACAATTGGATCAATGGATAAAGTTTTTTTCCTGGGATATCTGAAAGTTTAATTTCACTTTTCGCTTTCAAAACTAGAAATCGATCACGTTTATCGTGGCCTTTTACACTTTTGCTGTTCGATAACGGTGTTTGCCTTTCTTGTAACAGCGGCAATGAACTGAACTTAAAAATAAATCAAAAGATCAACCGCAAAAGAGTTAATTTGAGCCTGAACAAATTTTGAGACTTTTCCTGAAAAAAAAACGAAAAAACAAATTGCGACCTATATAAGAGTCTGAACTACGTTTATCAAATCTTAATGATTAAGCCGATAAAAAATAAGCAGAAACCATTAAGGCCGAAAAATTCTTTTGAGCGAAAAGGAAACTCAAGGATAATATACAACTAAGGGGTACTAATTTTACAAATTATAGGAGTGAACCAAAAATACTTGCATTTACGATAAAAATTGCTGACAGCACAGAAAAAATTCCACATGTAGCAACTGAGCCGACAAAAGATAAGCAGACGAACGAAAGTCCGACACAAAAAGTTCCCGAAAAAAACTCAAACCCAGACCTTAAGGTACAGAAGCATCCGCGTTACCTATATGCCAAATGAGATAAGTTCTCGCAGTTGCTAAGAATTGCTAAAAAAGAAACTTACGAAAAGTTGTTTACGGGAAAAAAAAGTCCGGTTCCCGATTATTTTTTCATATATTCTTTGTTTGATCCCCCCACACACTATGTAAAGTTCAAAGAGATGTTTTTACCGACTCTTATACTGAAAACATGACAAAATGACTGTCCTCAATTCAATTTGGAAAAATTCAATCGGCCGTTTACGCGAGTAAGAACGCAATATATCGCAAGTTTATCCCAAATTGGCTATTTTCAAATCCCCATAATTTTTTGGAAAAAAATATCACACTTTTTTATTTGAGCTGCCGACAACAATATTTTTCAGATGGTATAAAAAACTTCGAAAGTCGGAACAAAAAAAATGTTGACACACAAATATACCACAGTTGCATTTGATTTTACTGAGGACTGTGTAACTTTTGACGAAATTCATACTGCAGACAAACGATCAAACTAAACTAGAATTTCTTCAAGCCTCTGACAAACCAATCAAGCACATTATTCCTGAGGTAAATGAGCTAGAGCAGTCACTTGAGCTTAAAATAAGCATACTTCAGCTGGAAGTTCTTGTTGGACTAGTTGTCTACAGAAAAATTCTAGTCCCGATTTAATATCAATTGCTATTTGGAGGTTCAAAAAATAGTCCACTCCAGCATTAAAAACCCGTTTACAAACACTGCAACGACCAAAAAACACGGGCCGAAACCCAATTCGGTTAGTTTCTAACTGGAAAAGTCTAGTACCCGGCTGCGACTAATTTTCTCTCGCAAGCGTAAACAATGAACCAAAGGAAGTCTTCTTCCAAACGACAAATATATTTTACGAGGTCAAGGCTTAGGCTTATTTTAAAATATAATAATTAAAAAGGAGCACTTTTCGCATTTTAAATCCAAGGCCGTTTGTGTTCAGAAAACTTATTATTACTCACCTTGTGCTGCGGGAGCTATGACGTCTAATTGGGCTCGTTCTTAAGTTATCTGAATGATCCATATCATATGTCGTTGTCAGCGATACGTCGAAATCATAATCGCTTTTCTGATAACGCTTTTCATAGTCAGTTCCCTTTTCCAGATAGTCTGGAAGTTTACCCGGCGACCAGTATTTGGTACTAGGTAAGAGCTGTGAGTATCCGACATCGGTGTCTTCGTATTGATCTCGACATGAAGCTATTTTACGAAAACTGGTACTGCGATGAGAAAATTGGTATCTGTGGTCGTGTCGGTCACTGTGGCTCTGACTCTCGAGGACATGCAACATTATTACTTTGCTTCTAAATCATTAAATGTTCTAAAAAAAAACAAAAGTGAATGAACTTAAACAAACTTATCTGTTGATTAAGCATTTACAGTTTATTAACATTGTCAGTTTATTTATTGTTGATTGCTCTTACAACGCAGAAATGAAATTTAAAAAAATTACCACCTTACAAAAAATTTCAGTGTGAAAACAATAACATAAATATGAACACAAGAAATAATAAATTAAGCTTTACCGAAAAAATTAATGGGCAAAAACATTGAAAATTATTTTACAATTTCGAACAGGCAACATAATGACAAAATCAATTTCAAGAATATCCTTACTTACAGAAAACCAAAAACATTACTTGAGAATTATTACTTATTATTATTCAGAGAAGATACAACGGTAGGGGACCGACCTTTTACCAGAAAGTTATAGCATGGACCTTTAACCAAACTCTATAAACAAAAATCATTTACAGAGAGAGAGAGAGAGAGAGAGAGAGAGAGAGAGAGAGAGTTAAGGCTTCTGTGTTTTACACAAGGGTTTGCACCCATCACTTGACGGCTGAGCTGACTTTCTGCACCGGGTTGCACTTAAAAGCCAAGAGAGCCATAAGTTGACTTCAGAGTAACCTTTTTAGAAGTAATTCCAGTATAATTTTGTTAGGTATGGTTTGTCAATTTGTTCGAGGTCGACATTTCCTTTTTTCGTATTATATTCAAAAATTGACTGGTTCTTTTCCAAAAATTTTCGTCACGCGTTCCTGTTCGAGTTTTTTTTAATCGATTTTAGATATTTTTGTAATGTTAATAAAGAATCTTCATTGGGTTTCGTATTCGACTTTATCGGTAGTTTGAGGTTGTAGCTGCCTTTGTGACATTCGACCAGAATGGCCAAAATGCAATTTATGCAGGCTTCGAATTTTTAGCAGTAAGCCTTCCGAGTTGATGATTTCGAAGGATTAGCGACGTTATTGGAACGTTTAGCCAAACGGTGAGGGCTAGAATATTCTAGTATTTTAAAAATTTTCAAAATTTCGAATGATGACGTCACATTTCGGAGAAATGCTGAAACGGCCATTTTTAACAAAAAGCGAGTGAAAAAAGAGAACAACTTTATCTGTGATTGCGAACAGAACGAAAATCGAGATTAAAGAAAAACGACAACGAACTACGATAGCAGAGAACGTTCCAAGTTGCAACTATTGTGCTGCTACAATAGTTGCAAGGCCGTTGCCAACAACGGTGAAGGGTGAGAACCAGCCTTCCGGATTGGCGTGAAATTGAACTTGAGGAGCTTGATTCACTGGATTCAAGAATCCGGAAGGGTTTCGGGACTGGAACTTTTAGCCTTTTATATAAACTTTTAGCTTCTTGTCATGTCCTGAATTGAATTTAATTAACAACTGGATTCATTTTGATAAGGATGAGAAGCTAGGAGTTGGGGGGAAAGGGTTGATCCATCTTCGATGGAGATGATGGTTTTTATCTACTGAACAAAAACAATAGTAATATAATAAGTAGTAGCCCTGTTTTTAGGAGTGACCTCGTGGTCTGGGGATACTGAGACCCAGCCATGAGCTCACTATTTTTGCATGTAATTCAGTTAATTTGAGCGTTCTGGTCGAAGCCGGAGAGCAGTAACGTTTTTGTCGACCCGATGTAAGAAAGACCACCGAAAAGTACTGGCTTGGTAGAGACGGTGAAAAACATGCAAAGCTCTGTTTAGACGCTAGCCAGTCGTCTTAAGACTTAGTTTTGTTATCCGTCGATATGTATCTTCCGGGCGAATGTTACACTTTCAACATTAATACTAGCCTTAACAGATCATGTAGTTCAATGTAGTTTTTTTTTAATTTTAACCGCTTCTTTTTCAAGTTTTCCACGTATTTGATTTTATCTTAATTGAATTATTGCATTGAGGTCTGGTATAAGATCGGTCTGGTAAAAGACTACGCCCAAAACGCTGGCGACCTATGGAACAATTTCCTGAAAGCACGTAATGTAACAGTCGTTCACGTAATGTAACAGTCGCCTACTTCGGTCACATATGAAGCTTAAGAAAAATAGGCCCTATAACCATTGACTCAAGAGTCAGGGACACTATCTCTTGTGTTTTTCTACCTCAAAACGGTCGGAGCCAATTCGGTTCGCTTGCAACATGAGACTAGAACCCGTTACAGCTTAAAGGCCACTACCAAAATATCCCCCACTCTAGAAAATAAGAACTTCCCCATACTTAGGTCTCGAGATACCC